CCGGCGCGGTGGTGCTCAGAACAGAGGCGGGAGCAGTGCCGGACCAGCGTCAGCCGGCCCTCCTCGCATGTGTGCTGTATAGCGGCGGCGCAGAGCTCAGGTCGGATGGGGCCAGAATTAGGTGAGAAAAAGGGAGGGGGATTGTTGTGGGTATAGATAGTTGGCTTAGGATTTTCCTGTGTCCGACTGGTATCAGGGGGTATCCCACCGGTATCCGAATTAGTATAATTTTTTGGACAATAGAAAATTGGGGGATACATACGGGATACGTATCAGCGGGTATCCGGATGTATCTAACTCCCAATATGTCGTTTTCCTGCCATATCCGTGCAATTTAGGTTCTAACTACTAACAAGCCCTCTTTCTCTGTTTTCTTTTATCATTATGATTTTGATATTTGCAGCTTATCTTCACTGAGGAAATGTTGACTTACTCTCATCACTGAACCTCATCTTTACAGCTATCCTGCATTCTTGAATTTGATGGTGCTTGCAAAGGAAATCCCGGGAAATCAGGCGCCGGTGTAGTAGTAAGGCGGTCAGATGGATCTGTGGTATGTACGCCAACTGTTTCTGAGCTGGTTTGTTTTCTTAGTGTTTTGTTACCAGTACCACAACTAGCTGATGACGACTATCTTCTACTTTAACCATAGATTGCTCAACTACGTGAGGGTTTGGGTATTGCAACGAATAACGCTGCTGAATATCGTGCATTGCTCCTGGGGTTGAGATATGCTGCTAAGAAGGGATTCAAGTATGTTCGTGCTCAAGGCGATTCTAAGCTTGTCTGTAACCAGGTCTGGTTTGTACCCTCACTACTTTGCAGCCTTCATGTTCTACCATGGAACCATCAATAGATAACTATTCGATGTGCAGTTTGTGCTCACTCTTTGCAGTCCACCAAAACAGTAGACTTGTAGTCAAATTAAAAGAGATCGAATGTTTTTTTTTTCCGCACGTCGTTTCTCCTTTAAATTAATTTGATCATCATGGTCCTCAGTTTTTCCTCACCAAGGGAATGTTTTGTGCTACATCTATTAACATGTTTACTGGTTATTAAGGTGCCCATCTACAGTCTATTATTTTATTTGGGCAAGGAATAATTGGATTAAGGCCTTGATTGTTAGGGCATACAAAATCTTGCGAAACTAATCAGAGCTCTTTGAAGAGTTTCTCCAGTAGCTGGAAGCTTTTACTAGCGTTCAATTTATTTTTCTTAACATAAGTAACACACTGAACTTTCTGGAGCAGGTCCAAGATCTCTGGCGTGTTAGGAATGATAATATGGCTGACTTGTGCAAGAAAGTTAAGGACCTGAAGGGAAATTTTCTTCAGTTTCAAATCAACCATGTGTTGAGGGTAGGTATCATATCTTTTCAGTGCCATCTGATATGGGTCAAACTTACTTTTATCAGCCAGCTTGGGGATCTGTTATTATATGAATGCTTGGCAAACATATTACATACTTGTGCTCTTGTACAAAAGCCTACACTTGACTGAATGCCTTGCAAAAAAGATACCAGGTGGCATGGATTGATGCTAGTTTTACTTTTGTTTTTGTCAAAAAACAAGACCATTTTTGCTCTCCTTAGGTCGCTCGCCCCAGACTCTTAGTTGGTCTCGGGGAGGCAGGCTTATCGTTATCCTCTTGTGTTTTACCAGCTAAAGCTTCTTACGCTTTAACTTATTTGGTATGCAGGAATTTAATGCGGATGCTGATGCCCAAGCTAACTTTGCTGTTGAACTTCCTGGTATGGAATCGTTCTCTGAATCTATCTTGCAAACTGTTATAGTATCTATCCATGTGTAAATAACACCTGATGCCTTGCTCTCTACAGTTGGTGAAATTCAAGAGCAGTCAAACTTCCCATGCTAGTGGTTGTGCTTCAGAGTTCAGAGTAGTTTGCGGCGTACCACTCCACCTTATTTTCTTTCTTTCTTATTCCACATTCACAGAAACAAGAATTCGTTGTCGAGCATGCAGTTGGTGCGTAGTTTGCAGTTGATCCGTAAGCGTGGTTACGACCTGGAGTCGAGATATTGGGGTAAGCAGAGGAAATTGTGTCTAGATTTTTGGATGAGCAGCTTCAGTACCCTGGCACTAGTGTTTAGCTTATACTGATATTATGCAGACTACATACATGCAACATCAGACACTGTTGGTAGCATAGTTAAATTGGTATTGTCTCGGTGAAGGGAAAGAAAGATGCTACTGCTGCAATTTGTTCGTCTTTTAACGTTGTTCAGAGTCGCAACGGAAGCATATGTCTTGCAGGGATGTTCTTTTTTCCTTTTATTGCAACAAAGAGGTGCAAATCTGTTCTGATAGTTCGCACGGAGCGAAAGGGAAAAGGGTTTATTCACAAGAAAAAAACAGTTAATGTAAGTTAGTTTTAACAAGCAGGCAAGATGTGAATGTAAACAAAAACTGGTTGACAGTGGGTTTCAACCATTTGGAATCATGGAGTGCAAATTTGTGTAAAGCCGTTTTTTAACGTGTAAAATGTAAAGGAAAAAAAGGTTGATAAGTGGAAAACGTGTATGAGTAGAAAAAGAGGGAAAAGAAATACTTAGCCATGTCAACTTGACAGACTTGGTACAAAGTTGTGTTTATTTTGTTTTACTGTGTTAAAAAACATTTTGTAAGGTTGATGGAATACATTAGGTGCGTGGAGCTACCATCTTGGCATACCCCGACTCTAGCAAGTTTCCAAGAGAATGGCCAACTCTGTTCTATGATCAACAGAACGCACTATCATTATCATGGTGGCTTTCTGTTGATTAAATGAGTAATTTCCATATGATTAGTTCACAAATATGTGGATATGGTGTCTCGCCCAGGTACAACGGTAGCCAAACACCTACCCACACGACAGTCTGGGATATCATGCCGGTGCGCGTGTTTACAACATGTAGCAGAGACAAATGCATATCCACAAGAAAGACATACGAGCCATTATGGCTTGCATAGTACTCCCTCCGCCCCGAATTAGTTGACTAAGATTTGTGTAGATACATATGTCTAGACATATTATAGTACTCCCTCCGTTCACTTTTATAAGACCTTGAAGACATTTTAGACAATGTGCAAAACAGCCCATTTTAAGCTGTCTGAAACGACTTACAAAAGTAAACAGAGGGAGTATTAGATAGCCATAAATGTCCTTTGCAGATATCGGGGCAACAAGAAAAAATCATCTAGGCACAGAATGGTCTTGGAGTGGCTCCACTCTTCTAGCACACTAATTCATTTGTGAACTTTGGGTTTAGTTGTGAATTTGTGGATGTGTATGCATGTGTGAATTTGGTGGACCTATCTATATATGTTGGATATCTATGCATGTTGAACTTGATGGAGCTATCTACATATTTTTTTTAACGAAAAATGTATTTGGCAACCGTGTGGCAGATTGCGAAATTGCCACACGCATCCAGCACCGTCACTTTCCTCCCGATCTCCTTCCTTCCCCGCATGTCCTCTCAATTTCTTTCCTTTCCCGCACGCCTCCCGATCTCCTTCCTTCCCCGCACGCCTCCCGATCTCCTTCCTTTCCCGCACACCTCCCGATCTCCTTCCTTTCCCGCACGACCTCTCCCGATTTCTTTCCTTTCCCGCACGCCCTCCCCGATTTTATCGGGCACACCCGCTCGTGCCTTCCTAATTTTCGTAATCGTCAATTATGGCCCACGTGCCTTCCCGATTTTCAGCAAAAATAATGCTTGGACTAGGATTTGATCTTTGTTCTGCAGGTAATCAACAAAGGGAGCTAACCACCTCACCTATGACACTCATTGTTGAGCAAGCTAACGGAAATACTATTTTTGACATGTTCGTGGTAACTTTGATCATTGGGAATAAATTTGTTGAACCCGCCCCCCAGTAATTTATGTAAATAGCACGATAACATTCACGCCATAGACCTGTTAATTTAGATACAAACATCGTGGTAACTTTAACTATTGGGGAAGACAAATGAGAAAAAATACCCGATAATTTATGTGTAAATAGATGGTAATATACGCAGCGCACATCTGATAACTAAGGTAGAAACACCATGGTAACTTTGACTGTAGGGATTTTTTTTTGAAAAGATTCTCCGACATCTTCTGTGTAAATAGCACGGTAGTATACCTCCCTCCCTGGCATTTTTATGTGTAAATAGCATGAAAACATATGCACTGCGATAACTAAACACCATGATAAGTTTTTGACCCGTGGGGGAGGGGGATTTGCTAAAACATACCCCTCATAAATTTTATGTAAAAAGCATGATATTTTAAGCACTACGGGCTTGATAGGTTACCTAGAATCACCATGATAACTTTTTGTCCCGGGAAAAAGTTGTTCAAAACATCCTCAATATATTTTGTGTAAATAACATGATAATATAAGCACCGCATAACCGATAACTTGCAATATAAACATGATGGTAACTTTTTTATCAAAGGAAACTAAGTTGTTAAAAACACACACTCGCCTCGCGCGTGGGCCTCTTGGATGAACAGAACGCATAGCGTGCCACGAGAAAGTCGCATAATGTTTAGTGTCATGAGGGGCACACGTGCTATAGGTGTGATAAGTTACGCAAACTTCATGGTAATTCTTTACCTATGGAAAAAGCTACCGAAACACACCCAGGTTTTTAGGTGCAAGTACCATGATAATATACGAACTGTTGACCCGGTAACTCATGTACAATCCCTCATGATACCTTTGACCGGGGGGAGGTTGATGTACATATACCTTGATAACTTATGTGTTAGTACGACGGTATTTTACACATCGAAGACCTTATAACTTGTGTACAAAACACAGTGGTAACTTTGAAGGGATGTAGTTGTTGAAGCATAGATACCTGGTACATTCTATGTAAATAGCACAGTAAGTTATGCAACACAGGCGTGATAACTTGCATACAAATATCATGGTAACTTTGTCCTGAGGAGAAATTATGTGGTAGACGTGAAGAAGTGGCAGTTTTCTCAGGGGTGGGCGCCCGAGATGTGCGGGAGAAGTAGGTTTCTCGGGCGAGCCTACAGGGTCGTTTGGGAGGAGGCGAGGTCAAAGGACGAGGAATCTTGTGGTACTTTAAAATGAAAAAAGTAGAGGTGTATCAGTTTTGCTTATATGGCACACGTGTGCCAAATATCACAGTCATTTTTTTAAATGCGGGGTTGTTCCAACAAGCAAGCAAAAAAAAAAACAGTTTGGCAAATAAGCCAAGTGCAATAAATCGCCCTAGTTCTATAAGCTGAACCGCTTAGTCAAAATCATTCGGCTTACAAGCTATAAGCCGAACCGCCCGGCCAAAACACTCGCTTATATGATGTAAGTCGGAACTAAAAAACCAAATGACGTCTGGCGGTTTAGCTATAAGCCTAGTCATGTGTATTTACTCGGTTTATGTTGGACACATGGCAGCCACGGGAGATTCAGTGGAGAGGAAGTACGTCGAACGGGAGCACCTGGCTTTCATAAGAGGCTCGGCGTACACGTAACAGTGGCACGAGCTGCACACACGGCTTATGGCTGCTTCTCGGTTTACGCTTAAGCCGTGCACCCCATTGAGCACACAATTTATCCGACACGCCCTGTTTACATATATTGTGGGCCAGCGTGGATACATGGCTTATGTTCACTCTCGGCTTACGCTTAAGTTGTGCACCCTGCTAGACACACGGCTTATCCTATACTTCCAGTTTACGCACGCATACATCATGGGTCAGCATGGGTACACGGTGGCGTCATCCTGATTATTTTTCGCCGAAGCCACGGTTTTTATATCCGCTTTATCCGGTGAAGTGACACTCGGCTTACAAGGCCAAAGCCAATCCAAATGAAGCCGAGTGTAACACTCGTCTTACATGAAGCCGAGGTTAATTGGGGATTCGCCGAGTATTTTTCATACTCGGTTTCATTTATTTTTCTTCTAGTGTACCGTATGACCCTGGTTCAACACCGTCTGATTGACCATGGCGTCTGTGTGCACATGATCTGTTCATATTATATTATAAGATAGTATATCATATGTATTGCCCAATAATCTAGGGTGCTAGAACCCATCGCGCAACCCTGATTCAATGCCATCTGATTGACCATACCATCGTGTGTGCATAATGTGATGATATTACATTTTAAGCTATATCGTATATACTGACTTTGAATTTAAGGTGCTAATGTTCGGTCCATAAACCCATGGTGCGACCCCAGACACCATCCAATTGGTCATGCGACCGTGCGTCATGTGCGCATGATCTGATGATAATATCAGGTTGAGATGTATGCATCCCAAAATCAATGGAGCTTCAACACATCGTCAAGTCCAATTCAAATAGTTATTCCCTATAGATTCCACAGTTAAGTTTAACTAGAGCTATTACCAACATATGGAGTGCATCATGCCTTTTTTTAATTATGCACCATGGGTGATGGATCATTCTCCCATTGGCCCATGCAGCACCGGTACATGCGGAGCAAATTCCTTCTTTTGAGAAATGCAGAACAACACGTTTGTTTCTCTAGGAGTAAATGCAACCTCTCTTTGTTAATTCCCAACGCGGCTTATTGATTCCCACGCAAATCACACGCTCCTCTGAACTGGTGGCCATATTTTCTCAACGTAAACATGAGCTACTTCACTGGATCCTAGACTTACGGATTGGACGGCAGCCTGCAGGTAGAAAGATCTCTCACAACACAATTAGTTTTGCATCGTCTCGCCATACTACATTGGTTGTCTGAGCCGTGTGCTACCGTGTGGGCTGCATGGGGCCCGCTGACAGTGTCGTCTTAGTCCGAATGTTTGGGCTGAGGCCCAGGAAGGCCGAGTCAGAGCCATGTGAGAGTATCAAAAGATTTGGGACGGGAAGCTTAAG